AAAAACCAAAACAAACTTCTAACATCCTATTACACAGTGGCGTAGTAAAGAAATAGCATGCTGCCATGTACCTAAATAATCTCAGACTTCACACATGCTTTGACAGACTCAAATATTACACAGTAAGTCTCTACTTGGGTTTTTGTTCCAGAGGGTTGCAATAGGTAAGGTTTTAGATTTTTTCTTGCTAAGCTTAGATCAGAAAATGGTGAGGAATTGTTGGTTGAAGATACTAGATTTTTTCAATTCTTGAATGAGATGGAAGCCCCGCTACTCAGACCATTCCCTAACTCTTGTTTAATATGGACATTTGCTGTTACCTGAACCCTGCTAAGTCTGAAACTTCAGTGGCAAAAACAGCTGTGGGTGTGGGCATCACAAAGGCTGGTTTTAAAGCTTCATCTTCACAAAAGCCTAATGCTGATCTTTTTCAAAAACAAGCCAAGTCTCTCATTCCATTGAGAGAACTAATCCACAGATTACAAATAGGGATGAAGATATTCGTTCCACTTCATGCACTAGTTTCACTGATCAGGTTTATCACAGAAGTACAAGTAATATCCGACAGTCTGGACTACCTCCACTGCAACGGTTTGGTCTAAATCATGAAACCAGATTCAAAACCATCGGAAAATTCTGATTTTGTGAATCGAAAAAAAATCAAACACAAATCGATGCACGTACACAGAAGAAGTAAGTCAACAATTCACATTCATTCATCATCCTCAACCTTGGACTTCAAGGAAACCATTGCTAGGGTTTAAAAAATGGTTTCTAGAGATACTTGGATCAGAGTTTTTGGAAGACAGAGGGATGAACGCGATTCAGACCTAGCCGCTCGAATACTCAGCTTGGACGGGATCTCGATCGGAGATGAAAGACGCAAACTGGACTACTGGAGAGGCGATGGACGAGAGGGATCGAAAGAGGCTATGGACGAGAATGAATGTCGACACTTAATTTTAACTGGCCAGGGAATTGAAATGACATGGGTTTGGGTATGAATTTGTAATTGGATTGGTTATTAATGAGAGGAATTTGATTTAAATCCAAATTCAAATTCTTTGGGTTGCCAAACAAGGAATTTGAGCCAAATCCGGATTTGAAATCCAAATTCAGGTTCCCAAACAGGCCATAAAGGTAAAGTGAAAAAGAAGGGTTCAGGTTCGTGCGTGGGATACACGCGCTGTTAATTGTTAACGGAAGGACCGTATCTGCAGCTAAAGTATTAGTTGAGGGACTATTTATGGATATAAAATACTTGAAGGACCAACGGTGCATATCTAAAAAAGTTGAAGGACCATATGTGGATTTTAGCCCGTAATATTTTAATGATGGACCGACATGTTGTAAGTTTGTTTTAATTACATAATTTTTTAAATTATGTGTAAAAAAGTAATCAAGTCTTATATTTTTTGTTTTAATAAAAATACAACAAATTTTAGTTAATATTTTATGCTCCCTCCATCCTAAAACTTTCTTCCCATAGCACTATTCCAACTTCACGGGAATTTATATTTATCTGTGATTTTTCATGGCCTATATGATAAAATAAAATATTCTTGTCACCACTTGTTTTGTTAAACTTTTGATGTAGTTTTTAAATATGTATGTTTTATTTTTTATTTCTATACCAATATTTAAATAAAATAGATTTAAAAAACTTGAGATTTTTCTTCGTTTTGCGAACCGGGAAGAAAGTTTTAGGACAGAGGGAGTAATTTGTAATTGACATATAAATTACTATTAAAAAACTAATTAAATAAAGTAATACCTGTAAAAAAATTATTATTTTCAATGAATTAACCTTTTCTCTTTATTTCTCCTTTTTTTCCTCTTTCTGTATTTATTCCCCTTTTCCTTTTTTCCTCTCTTTCTTTTTCTTTTGTTTCACTCCCTTTTCTTTCTTTCCCAGTCGCTACAAGTTTTCCCCCTCCCCTTCTCTCTCTTCTTTTCCACTCCTTACTAGGAAGAGTTTTTGATTCCTACTCATTCTAGAGAGAGAAAGTACGATGAAAGAGATTAAGTGTAATGTCTGAAATCTGGTCTATCAAAATTAATTAATTAATGAATAATTAATTAGTTATTGAGATAGACTCAGAGGTTAATATATATATATTCGTGAATAAATATAAGAATTATATAATTGTGTAGGGTTTGAAGAGTCAAATCCAATGGTGAAAACAGATTTGAATTCAAAGCAATTTGGCCCGAAAAGCATATTTTAATTGAGCTACGTTATTTAATTAGAGAGTACGAAACCATATAACTATAAATATACCCTAAAGCACCTAAACCCCACAGGTACCTCTATATTAATGTAACTCCCTCTCTCTCGCACCTCTCTTTGTCACCGATCGACACATGCAAAAGCGAAGAACCCGGGAGGAAGAAGAAGAAGAGAAATGAAGAGGAGGCCGCGCGCTGGTTTGCCCGCACCCTCACCGTCCTTTGTTAGTTCAATCTTCATAATCGTTCATCGAATTTGAGGTGAGTATGTGGACATCTAATGCTAGGTTATATTTATAAAATTGAATCTTACATTCGTAGGATCATTATGCTTGATTTACATGAAAACCTACTTCTGATAGTTTCGTTTTGGATTATTGATAGTTTTTTGGTTGGAAAGCATGAATAGTTATTGCTTGATCATAGTAACGTTTGGATATAGTTAGTGTTGGGTAACCACACATGGATAGCACAGCGGAAAACAAAATTTTATATCCAATCGTCGTTACCACCCAAGATCATCTTATGAAAACTATAAATTATTATTAAGAAAAATACCTTTTCTCGTAGAAAACAAATCGGATGGTGCATGTGAAGGGAAGGGATTGGTGCAACGAACCAGTCACAAACGAATCCAACCTTTAGCGCATCCACACGAACAACGAATAGCATTCTAAGAAGAACTTATGCTAGTAAATCCTTCCTAGAATATTACTATCATATAAAATTTGATTAGGAATGATGAAGAAAAATATCAAATATATTTTCCTTCAATTTTTCGGCCAACAAGAGGATTGAGAGCTTCTAAATATCTGTTCTTTAGGGTTTTAACTCTTAACTTCAAGTTTCTTCCAGTTCCTTCCAGTTTCTTCCAGTTTCTTCTAGTTCCTTCCAGTTCTTCCAGTTTCTTCTAGATTCTTCCAGTTTCTTCCAATTTCTTTCAGTTCCTTCCAGTTTCTTCTAGTTCTTTCCAGTTTCTTCCAATTATTCCCATTTTCTTCAAACCTTTTCTACTCCTCAACCAATTACTCTAAAAATGATATATTTTAATGTGATTATTATTATTATTATTATTATTATTATTATTATTATTATTATTATTATTATTATTATTATTATTATTATGTTCATAACTATAGTTTATAAATTATTAATTTTCACCTAACTATTTTTACGATTCACACTCAATATTTTTTTCTTCAACTTTTTAATGTGAATAAGACTTTTTTTGTATATTCGTCTACATGATAAAACAGGAAAACATAAATATGTTAAATTATATTAAAAAAATTATGGATAAAATAGTGACATTGAATGTTTTATTAATCTAACTTTATATAAGACCTCTCACATTTCCCTTTATTACTTAAAATTTTGCTCATTTTTCTAATTCTAATAAAAAAAATGTAAGTCAAAATAATTTAGAGAAAAAGACTAAAATATGAGTAAAACACAAAAATGTATAAAAAAAGATCTATGTATTTATTCCAAAAATAGGACTTCAATGAAAATAAAATGTCAATCATGAAAGAAAAATAGGTTTGATTACATTATGTGACATGTGTGATATTTAAAACAAAATCTTGTAATATATATAAACTATACTTACAAATATATTATTTATAATAAATACTACATAAATAAATTGAGGTGCAATATAACCACAAAGACTTTTTAAAATTTAATAATTTTATATTTATGCTAACTTTATATTATAATTATTTTTTTCAAAAGTAGTTTTTTTGTGTTTAAAAAATAACAATAATTTTTTTGTATTTTAAAAGCATTCATTAAGATAACGTGATAATAATGATGATTATGATGATGATAATAATACTAATAATAATAATAATAATAATAATAATAATAATAAGAATAATAATAATAATAATAACACTAATGATAATATAATATAATATAATAATAATAACAATATAATAATGATGATGATTATGATTTATAACAACAAGAATTTAAAATAAATGTTTTAAAAGTTTTTTTAGGGTTTCTAATTTTTTTTGAAGTTTTTCTAGTTTTTTTCAGTTTTTCCAGTTTTTTTGAGTTCCTTCCAGTTTCTTCCAGTTCTTCTAGTTTTTTCCAGTTCCAGTTTCTTCCAACATCCAACTCTTTTTTTCCAGTCGAACAGGCTCTAAGTGGCGTATAGTTATGTGTGTTTTGTATGGAGACCATCTCTTAATTTTTAAGAATTTATTTTAATTATCTAATCATATTAGATAACTATCAAAGAATTAAGGATAGAGTCAAACTCTCCTTTTTTCTTTTAATTTTTGGCCCCCATAAAATATTTTTCCTCTGTCCCCCTAAGATGTTCTCATTTTAACTTTTGGTGGTTTTTAAAGAGAGTTGAAAAAAGGTGAAAGTTTAACATAATACCCTTAATGAAAATGGGTGGAGTGTATTAAAAGAGGTGTGTGAGGTGTAATACATAAAATAAGTAGGGGTAATTGTTGTATTTTAATTGTTAAAAAATGAAATGAGAAAATCTATTGTGGACAAAGAAAAGAGGCTATTGGAAAGATCTATGGGAGACGGAGAGAGTAATAATTTATTTTGTCAACTTTAATTATAATATAATTAAGACAAAAATAAATATTAAGTATATTTTTAACAATCGGTATTCACATTACCGAGGAGAGAAGTACCGGATGCAAGAATATACATATAACCATCACTTGTGAAGAATACACGTCCAACCATCATAAATCTCATGAGCAGTAGGAGCTTCCCATGCCCCCACCCGGCATGGGAACTCTCAAGCAAGAAATGCAATAGTGCCACAGCAGCTGCCATTATTCATACGATGAATGCTTCTTGCAAGAGCCCTCTTTCCAACTCCGTGTTTGATTCTATTTGTACTCAATGAAGTTTGGGGTACCCCAAGTTCCACACTACTTTAACCATAAAGGCATATGTGCCCCGCACAGATATACGTATCCATATTTACCTTTAGTGGGCAAAATGGTGTGCAACATAGGGAACTCCAAGCATCCATCACCCATTTGTACTAGCAGGCCTTCAGAGCATCAAAGTTCACTCTGTCCATATCATTTCCAAAGCAGAATATCCAATCACAAGGCTTGAATCTGTCCACCATATCCATAGCGCTTCAGAAGACCTTCATTTTGCCTCCAATTGTTTTGAACCTTCACCTCTACCTGTTCCCAGTGATGACATTTTTTTAAGAATTGCTTTTATTTCCAAATGATGGACGTATTGACTTCAACTCTTACATGCTATAGATCACTTAAATAAATATTGAGACAGAAACACTCAAGTTTAGGTTATACCTGGAGAAAAACTTTCTTTTGCAAGAAATCTTCTATATCTAGCCGTGCAGCTGTTGCAATAAGCTTCAGGGTCTGTCCTTCCTGAACTAAATTACAAACCAGATCAGTGTGTGTGACTGCAATGCCATGTAAAGAGTATTATATATCAAATCATTCACTTTATTTGGTTTGACATTTTATTAGATATGTAACTTATGGAATAGAGATTATACCCAAACAATTGATAGACATGTTTCTCTCTTTTGTTCCTTTACTATCTTTTAACAGTGGATTGTAACCCAACGAAGAGGGGGCTGGGAGGGGAGGCTAGAGTGCATGTCAATCTAGGGTCAAACGGAGCACTGTAGGGCCTCCAAATGGACCAATATGACCTTGGTGGCAAAGTTAAAAGAACCAGCCCATTATTTTAATCAATCTCTTTTTGCTTCAAGTCAGTTGGCAAATCTTTTGAAATAATATTTTGAGATATTTTGACAGTCTTTCAAGAACACGGTCGTTGGAAGACGCCAAAGAATGTTTTCATAAATTATTTTCTAAAGAGTTCACTGAGGGTAATTTTAATGTCAATACATGGTAATTAAAGACCAAAATGAGATATTGCACGTGAATATGCATGACATGGCTTGGAGGATTGAAGACACATATCATGGAAGATCAAACCAATATGTTGATAAGATTTATTTTGATATTTGTAATTTAGTGTTTGCTTAACCTAAAAATAGGTTCAATTCCTTCATTGTAAGGCATCATGAGTTTAAAATATAGTGAGTGTTCCTCACCTTCAACTCTTTAAGGTTATGAAACATGTGAAAGTTTAAAAAATACTTGACCCTTAGACCTTAAACCCCCCCCCCCCAAAAAAACTTGAGAGTTTTATTACTCCTTCCGTCCCATAAAAAGGTTCCACATCTCTTCTTTCGTTAGTCCCAAAAAAAATTGTTCCACTTTCAACTTTTGGAAACAAATCTGTGGCCCTTGCTTATTAGTGGTGTTTCTTTGTGCTTATAAGCTGATCCAAACTCCTTATAAGCTATTTTTAACTTATAAGTCAGCTAAAGACGTGTTTCTCTATGCTTATAAACCACAAAAAATAAGTAGGTCTTACCTACTTATTTTGAAGCTAATTTTCTCATTTCCCCGTTTTGAAAAGATTATTTAAAAAACTATCAATCACCTATAACGAGAATCCTCATCTTATACTCCCTGTCCCTAAAAGATCTTGTTTACTATTACGGTCGCTCAATAATTCTTATTTGTTTGCATATTTTCATTGATCATTTGATAAAATAAAATATTCTTGTCACCTCTTGTTTTGTAGAGTTTTTTATGTAGTTTTTAAATACAAATATTTTACTTTTTTATTTCTTTACCAGTTTGTAAATAAAATCATTTTAAAAGTCATGGGGTTTTACACGTTGATCAAAGAAAGAAATTCTTTTAGAGAAACACCCTCAATAAGTTAAGAGCTACTTATCAGCATAAGACAATAAGCACCAGCATAGAGAAACACCCTCAATATATCTCTCCACTGCATTACTTTCAACCACACAATTTGACTTTTCTTAATCTCTGTGTCTAGTCAAAAGTGGAAACTTTTTATGGGATGAAGGGAGTGTAGTTAAGGTAAATCGCTTATCGTAAGTACTAAAGAAAATCGCCTCTCTGGTGATGCTATGGCGGGTCACGTAAAAGTGCGAAGGTTGCACATTGTTTCGAAAAATCTCAGCGTTGAAGCATCACCTTACGGTGTTGATTACCACGACAAGTTGTGTGGGGTCACATTTAACATAAAATTGAAAATGTAATATTTAGACGCACACCATCTGTGTGTATAATATTCAAACGCACACCATGTATTTGACCTGCATACATGGACCTTAAAGAACAAAGCTGATGCAGGATACTGTCGTAGAACAATTCCATTAGATGCATGTGAATGCTTACAATGCAATTTTCACATACTTTGATGTTAAGGTAATAAATTGTGTTTACGGTGCAAAAAAAAAAAATCACATACTAGGCATAGATATTGGAGGAGAGTACTTTGCATAGGCTTTGGAGATTACCACATCCAAAATAATGCAATTAATATAAGCTCTTTTACATCTACATCCCAACTCCCAACAAAATGGGCTTAAACAACAGAAAAACCATCACTTGTTTGGGTGGTCCGATCCCTTGTGGGGAAAGTATGTATTACTGCGTATCTAATGAATAAGCTTCCATAACCCATCACTTTCCATGAATCAATAAGGTATCTTTGGAAACATTTTTTTATAGTTGGTTCCCTTTTTCCCGTCTAAGTTATACCCCCAACAAAAGTTTCCTACTTTCTATGTTGGCTCAATGTTCATTACAGTTCTACTTTGGGAAACTTGCCCCAAAATCCCTCAAATGTATCAGCATAGGCTATTCTCCCACTTGAAAAGTACATAAATTTCAAGCTTTCTCGCACAAAGTCTATGTATCTAATAGAATGCCATATATGCAATCATTAAATGTTATTAATATTTATAGTAGAGCCGGTTAGGGTCATTTGTTTATCGGGTCAAATGTTTTATTTTATATATGTTACTTACTAAGTAGTAATTACAAAGTAGTAATTACAAATGTTGTTCCATACATCTATTTGTGGTTATATTATGCGTGTGCCTAGGTCGCCTAATTTTTGCCTAGGCAATATGAAGGTACGTCGGTGCCTCGCCTCACCAAGACAACAACAACAACAACAAGGTCTTATCCCACTTCAGCTACATGGATCAAACGACGCTATTGCGCCATATCGTGTATCATATCATCATATCTGCTGTGAGATTGTTCGCGCGAAGGTCTCCCTTGATCAATGCTTCCCAAGTCCTCTTAGGTCTACCTCTTCCTCCAGCCACATGCATAGTCACCATTTGATCAACCCTTCTCACGGGATGCTATATTGGTCTTCTCTCCACATGTTGAAACCACCTAAGACGAGTTTCATATTAGTAAATGACGTAAGTGGAAATCAAGGTTTCCAAACCATGACGGTAACTAGATATTATGGCTAGAAATCACTTCACATTCTCATTGACATTGGGAGTACCCATAATTGTTGGATATAACCATAGCTAAGGGGTTGGGATGTAAGTTGGATCCAACAAGTGCCTAGTTACTTATAGTAGCTGATGGAAATCAACTTAAATGTGAGTTCATGCGTAGAGAACTTGGATGGGAATTGCCCATAAGCTACTTCAAATATGACATGTTACTCATCCAGCTAGGGGGGTGTGATGTACTGGCGGTGCAATGGTTGGCTACATAGGGACTAGTGCAATGGGACTTAGAAAAGCTTGAGATGGAGTTCAGGTATAAGGGGTGGGCAATAAGTAGGCATTGAGAGAACTGAAACAACAAATCTCTCAAGTGAAAGCTAGTACTATGACTAGACTTGTGAATACATCCAGTTAGTGATGCCTAATGCAGATTTCATCCACTCATAACAAGAATGGGGGCAAACATTCTGAAGTGGTAAAAGATACCCCTGTAATCCTTCAGAATTTGTTGGACTGTTGGAGGAAAATGTTGATCTGCTTCAGGAGCCTAAAGACGTTCTAGAGGAGTCTTTGATCATGCTATAACCCGATAACCCAGCTCTACTCCTACTCCTGTGAATATCAGACCTTATAAATATCCCATCAAATAGAAGGATATAATTGAACTGGTAGAAGAAATGAAGCAAAGTGGCATAGTGCAAGTTAGTGGAAGCTCTTATGCCTCACAAATGGTGCTAGTGGTGAAGAAAGATGGCAGTTGTAGACTATGGCCTTGTTTGGATGTTAGCTGTTGGTTGTTAGTTGTTGGCTGTTTGTGATGGCTAGTTTGAATGGCTGAATGGCTGATTGGCTAGTTGTTAAGAAAAAATTGCTTGGTAAATTTAGATGTTCATAAACAGTTGTTTGTAGTGGAAATTATATTCTTAAACATGCCTTCATATATGTCTGTTTTTAGTGAAAATTATATTTTTAATATAAACATGCCTTCATATATGTTAATTAATACAGAGTATGTTAATAAAATATCAAACACTACATCAATAAAAACAACTTAAGATAATGCTGTAATTTTATTTCAAAATTAAATAAATACGGTATATTTTTTTCAAATTAGGATTTCTAAAATTTTTAGGTCCAGTTTTAAAATTTCCAAGATAATCAACTATAAAAACAACTAGTATCAGTTTAAAAAAACTTACAATACAAACTGTACAAAAAAAAACAACACTTCTCTTGCAAAAAAAAAAAAAATATTTCCAACAGCCAAGTAGAAAAGCTATGCACCTCGGCATTTCCAAAATTGGCTTTTCAAGCCCTAAAGGCCATTGTAAGCGGCTAACACTCCAACACTAAAAATAACCTTTTATCCTAAGTCAAACAGCCATATTCATTCCAACCGCCAAGATTTGGCCAAAAAGCAATTTACCAAACGAGGCCTATGTGGGGACTATAGGGAACTAAACAAACAAACTCTTAAACACAACTTTCCTATACTCATAGTAGATGAACTAATTGATGAATTATCAGGATCCACAATTTTTAGCCAAATTGATCTAAAGTCTGGATGTCATCAAATAAAAGTTCTTCCTCAAGACATCCACAAGACTAGCTTCAAAACTCATCATGGGCATTTTGAGTTCTTGGTGATGCAATTTGGCATTACTAATGATCCTGCCGCATTCCAAGGCTTGATGAACCATATCTTCAAAGGCCAACTCAAGAAGTCTGTTTTGGTGTTCTTTGATGACATCTTAATCTAGAGTCCTACATGGGAACTTCACTACTTACACCTGAGGACAGTGTTTGATATAATGAGACAGAACCAATTGCTAGCCAAAAGAAGATAGTGTTCATTAGGAGTTCTCAAGGTAGAATATCTAGGCCATTAGATGTCTCAACAAAGGGGTGTTTACTGATCCTACTAAGATTAAGGCTATTAAGGATTGAAAAACTCCAAGTAACATAAAGTTTTTTGGGTCTTGCTTGGTATTATAGAAAACTTGTGAAAGGATATGCTAACATTAGCAGGTCACTCACTGACTTGCTAAAAAGGGGGGGCTTTTCAATGGTTTGAAGCAGCTACAGTCTTTTCAGCAATTAAAAGATGCTCAGTGTAGTACTCCAATGTTAGCATTACCAGATTTTTCCAAGCCCTTCATAGTGGAGGCTGATGCATCACAAGGAGGGATTGGGGTTGTAACGCAAGACCAACATCCTATAGCTTATATTAGCAGGTCCCTTGAACCTAGGTGGCAGCAGCTACCAGTATATGAAAAGGAACTTCTAGCAGTGGTCTTTGCTGTTCAGAAATGGGAACAATACCTAAGCCACCAGCCATTTGTTATTAAGACTGACCAGAAAAGTTTGAAGTGGTTGTTAGAGAGCAAAATGTCCACTCTATTTCAGCAATTCTGATTATCCAAACTCATGGGTTACACCAACAAAATTTCGTATAAAGAGGAAAAGAAGAATATAGCTGTAGATGCTCTTTCTAGACAAACAGGGGCTACCATCCTATGTTTGGCTCTCTCTACCATCGAATCTTCCTTACTAGAAGAAATTAAGCTGGAAGAAGAATCCCACTCTGCAGAAGAGTATAATCTCAATTCAGCAAAACCAGACATTACACTTAGATGAACAATCAACTCTGGAGGAAGGGAAAGTAGTGGGTCCATATAATGAGCTTAAACAAAAGCTGCTGAGTTGGGGTCACTCCTCACCTGCGGGTGGTCACTCAGGGAGAGAAGCTATATTGAAGAGACACGAAACTATGTTATATTGGAAGGGCATGAATAAAGATGTATCACAATTTATCAAGAGATGCTTAACATGTCAAGCATGTATATATGAACTCAGCATACCCTGGTCTATTACAACCACGACAGCTTCCCAGTGAGATTTAGAAGGACATTTCCATGGATTTTATTGATGGACTACTTAAATCTATGAGCAAGGATGTCATCTTTGTAGTGGTGGACAGAATAAACAAGTATGCCCATTTAATGGCATTGTCTCATCCCTATACTGCATTAGAAGTGGCTTAGGCCATGTTCTCCTCAACTTAGTTTTTTTACTTATTACTTATTCTTATTGGAATCAGACCAGATCAAACCAGATCAAATAAGAAATAGCTTTAAATATTACTACATTTCAATAAGAATAAGTGAAGAGAACATATTAATGACAAGTTCATTCATAAGTATTATAGTCCCTTTCATGTCATCCCTAAGGTGGGGAAAGTGGCCAACAAGCTTCAGTTTCCTTCTCACATCAAGATTCACCCAGTCTTTCACGTCTTCCAGCTCAAAATTTTTAGGGTGAATTGCCTGCTCCACCACACATTCCTTATTGGCTCCATGGCACGGCTGGACAGAATGATCACATACCTGAAGCCATACTCTCTAAAAGAATCCAGAAAAGGGGGGAAATAAAGATGGGGTGTAGTTCCTAGTTAAATGGCTGGGAGTTAAACACAAGTTTCCAGATTTTCAGCTTTGAGGACAAAGCTCTTCACAAGGGGGAAGGAATGATATGGGTATTAGCTATTGGTATATATGTAAATTGTAAAACTTGTGATGATGAGTAAATGTGTTGAGCTGTAACCAATCGATCCACTCCTATAAATACGGTGCAAGTGTGCAACATGCCATTTGGATCAATAATAAAGATAGTTTTCCTCTCTTAACTAACTCTCCTTCTCTCTCTCAATTCTGTTACAAGTACTCGAGGTCTTCTTCGTTCCAAGACCTCCATGCCTTGTATCAGATGTTGTGACTTGTGAGTTGATACAACTTGAATGACTATTTTAAGAGTTAAAGGTTCCAACTGGTTCTCCAATAGAGATTGAACACAATCCTATTCAACATGCTTGAATGAAACATGTTCGCATCATGCCACCAGATCAGAGATTGGAAGTGGAAAAATGTAGGTCATATAAGCTTTCCAGATCATTAAATGCAGACAAACCAAACCTCTACTTAGGGTTGGGCTTGAGACACGTGTATCAAAACTGGGAATGAGGGGTATACATTCACCAGTTTGAAAGAAAGTATTGGGAGCATTGGCTAAAAATGTTCTGTTACTATTTATGCCTCCAGGCCTCCTGTTATTTGATTCCAAAGTTTAGGTTGTGACTATATGATTGTTTTTCCTTGTTTCCTTTGAGCTGAAGTAGTGGGATTATATTCCTATAATATCTCTTATACTGCTTCTTCGACGCTTTATTTTTTTTATGCTTTTGACTCGATTACAATGCAGTATCGGTTCATACTTTTCTCAACCTAAAGACACACAAAGAGCCAATGCCTCTTCCTCCGTTGGGCTCGAACTTGGGTGAACCTCTGGGGAGTGGGCTTTCTACCACTCAAGCCAGTGGAGAAGTTCCTTAAATGCTTTATATACATCCTTTCTAAACCAAATAAGACACAGAAATTCCACAATCCTTGGTGTGCTATATTTTCTCTTCCTGTTATTCATATTCAGTTTGCAGGCTAATATTATACTGTTCAAACCATAAGGGAAAAAATACACATACTTGATAACAAAACAAGTACTAATGAACATTACCTTCCCAATGAGGATGGCTTTTTGAGAGTTCCTCTCCACTATAACTTCAACATGTATGAAATCTTTTGCATCTGGTCTACTTTTGTAGCTAACTACATTAACCTTCATGGTTATAAGTACATTAATAGAAGATATCAAGAAGAAAAAACCAATAAAAATAAATGATTTTTTCATATTCTCTAAAGAGACATAATGGAGTTAATATTTTACCTGGCATGCATATGGAACTTCATGTCTACATTGCATAAAGATCTTTTCTCTAACAATTTCAGCAACAAAAAATCTCTCTGGGTGCTCACTAGCAATGCCCTTGAGATAAGGAACAGCCAAATTTATTGAATTTATTGAACCGGATTAAAGATTCTGCAAATAGCTAGATGTTCCAGACTTTTTTTGAAAGCAGTTATCAAAAATTGAACTTTGAAACCGTGTAGACACAGAAATTTAGGGCCCAACTGATATGTAACTAGGACCACTCTGTAATAGTTGTAGCTTGAGAGACCTAATTTAAAAATGATATCTAAGGTTGGCAGTTTCAAAAACAGTCAATTGCAACAGGATACAGAAAAGGAAAGCCTAAAGTAGAGACAGGCATCAGTTGATGCATTCTCACTTTTCTCTCCATTCTCTCATTCTTTCTCCCTCTCTAAATTTCTTCTTCTCGAAACCGTTAACACATATTCACCCAAATAACAATGCAACTGAAGTCACTCGTTCAAACATTGAAGAATTAATGTATAACATGCAGATCACTAAAAAATGTTTTAAAGGGATTTTTATTACAGCATTAACTTTGTGAAAAGTTATTGTTTCCCTAGAGAAACGCATGTAGCAGGCAACAATAGGGCTCTAGTACTCTACACGGTAAAAATTAAATAGATATAATAGAGCAAATTCATGAAACATTGATATCATTGAGATTTTTTTTCAAGAGAGAAGGTAATGGCCTAATGGGTCCATACCTTGGGATAATAAGGTGGTCCAAGAGGAAGCTTTGAGAGTATCCAATCTTTAACATCTTCCAAGCCATGCCCATATTTGGCACTGACAGGAATGACATCATCAGCACCAGTAAATTTTTCATACCACTGGATAAAAGAGATTATGTGAATACAACAGGGGGGAAATATTGCATCTTAAAAACATGCATTGAATTTGGAACCTTCTAATTTCAATCAGTGGCGTAACGCATAACAAAAAATAGCGACCCTTTGCCAAACACTAGAATTAACCCCGCCCTCAAATATAAGAAATGATGTACAGTAACTGACAGTTAATTCTACATGATGGAGCCCAACGTTTAATTTATAATTAAACTATGTGCCATCACTCAATGCAAAAAAAAAAAACTCTTTTAACACTGTCTAGAAAAAAGATTTTTTGAAGGAAGAAAAAAAGATTCTAATAGTGGCACATTCTTAACGAAGTTGTATAATCCTGGTTTAAGGCAATAACAAGTATTTAAAGATAGTGCCACCACATTCTACCTATGTTATTTAGGATTCCCACAGCATTAAAGGGTATAGGGTGATTAGATTGTCAAGAAAAAATAATTAGGTGAAAAAGCAAATAGAATCCAAGCATTAATGGAGTATTAGAAACAAGGAAGATAATGGAAGCCAAATGTAACAGAAGCAGTGTTGTATATACCTTAAGTTTCTGTCTAATTTCGCCGGGTTTGATCAGGTCCTTCTTATTCAAAACAAGCAATATCGGTAATCTATCTTGTAGACCTCCAACACCCTCGTAAAGTACTTCATCTATCTATAAGGCCGATAAGTAAGTAGTGTATGGACTATACATCTAACAAGAATAAATTAGCTCTTACCAGACAAAGACACATACCTTTTCAGGAGGTTTACAGGCATCCACAACAACAAGAGCACAATCTGCACCGACAGCAGCATTGCGGACATTATTCATCATCATTGAATCTAATTTATGCATTTTATTCTCTATAACACCAGGAGTATCATATAGTATCATCTGCAAGCAAAGCCACAGCTCTAACTCCAAATTGCAAATAAAAAGATCTTACAATCTTGCAAAGACATATCTATTGACAAAAAAAGTCAAATCAATTTGAACGATTAAGAGAAAGAATGTACAAGTCAAGAAACACCGCATGCGGTTTGACTCCACAGCTTTTAGTGGTTAGGTAAATCAAACTACGACTAAAGAAGGGGAGAAATGAAAAAATATTATTTCAAACTAAATAATGAATATCTTCAAACCTGATACTCAGGACCAGAACAAATACCAAGAATATGATGCCTTGTAGTTTGAGGCTTATCTGTAACAATAGAGAGCTTCTGCCCAACCATCTGGTTTGAAAGCGTACTTTTTCCAACATTAGGCTTCCCAAGGACAACAACAAATCCTACATTGCAAACAATCTTCAATTTATCTAAAATAAATTCTACTAGTAAAATAATCCATGCAAAATTCAGTACCAAATAAGCAATATATTATAATCCACCGTATGGCCGCTTTACTCCCTAAAACATTGCTATTGTATGAATATAGAAGGCCAGGAACTCACCGCTTCTGTGATTTGGATTATCCGAAGCAGAGTCAAGCTCTTCGAGCTCATTCTCATCCAGCAATGCTATATTGCGGTCCGGCTTCTCCGTCAGAGACAAAAGAATACCGGCGCCATCCTCCTCTTCTTCTACATAGCTTATATCCGATGTTGATCTTCGTTCGTTATGAAAATCATTTTCTGCTTCATCTTCCGCTAGGTTATTCAGCAAGCCCGCCGGCTTTAGATATTTTTGGAGAAAAGCAGTCGAGCGAAATTTGAGGGAGGTTGCTCGGTTAGAATTAGAAGTTTTTGGGCTGAACTGGAGACGAGAATTGCTGAAGGAGTGTGTGTAACGAACAGAAGTACAGATGCAATTGCAATCTAGTGACTGCGGCGGTGGCGCCGCTGCTGGGGGTAGAGATATTGGTCGTTGTAGCAGAGCCAGCTCCATCATTTTGGATCAAGGCAACTCCACTACAGTACTACACCACTGTCCCTTTGACTCATTCATTCACAAAAAAAGGACGAGCACCATCAGCCTTTGACATACATTTCTTAGAGCACCATCAGTGATGAAGTCTAGAGCTTCAAACTTTTTCTTTCTGTCATGTCAACTTTAAATTACATTCACAAAAAATGGTTTTGAAGCCCGGGGCTTTAAATTGGGGTTTCAAATCTTCATTTTTTACATTTTTAAATATACATCTTCTAAATTTAAATTAATAAATTTAAAATAATTTATTATTTTAATTAATTGCAATGACACTAGTGCATTAAAAAAATTAAATTCATTATAAAAAATCTTACATTCATAAAAAAAACATTAAAAAAATTACGTTCATAAAAAAAATTACATAAAAAAATAACAGTACAAAGAAATCACTAATTATTCGAACGACTAAAGATATGATCGATCAAATCCGCCGTTAGTACATTGTGAATCTCTCAGCTTCGAATTTCTTGGAGGTTGCGTCGCTTCTTTTCTTCGGTGATTTATTCGTACATAGGCACCTCCTCGTCCGGGTTGTATTGACAAATCGTAGACTAATTATTCTCTATTATCATATTATGAAGAATAATACATGCGTACATGATATTCCTCATTTTTGTCTGAAAATAACATTTCGACGGACGATCTAGAATGTGCCACTTAGCCTTCAAGACCCCAAAGGCTCGTTCAATGTCTTTTCTCGCCGCCTCTTGAGCTTTTTTGTATGTCTGAGGTTTAAGACCCATTGGATCGGAGAGGGATTTCACAATCGTGGAATAATCCAGATATATTCCATCGGCCAAATAATATCCATGCTTGTAAAGCGTCCCTCTAAGCTCAAAAGAGGAGTCCGGTGCGGTCTCATTAACCCAATCGTCAAAAACAGACGATTGATCGAGAATGTTGATGTTGTTGTTCGAGCCCGCGACACCGAAAAAGCATGCCAAATCCACAAGCCATTCGAAGCAACAACTTCGAGCAGGATGGTAGGATAGGGATGATCTCCCCGGGAGAATTGACCATGCCACGCAGTGGGACAATTTTTCCATTCCCAATGTTTGCAATCAATACTCCCAAGCATGCCAACAAAGCCGTGTTTAGCGGCATGTCTTGCTTGCAACTGCTGGATGTCGCTCGCTATAGACTTGCGTAAATATCTTTTATGATAAATTTGAATAATAGCTTTTGAAAATTTATAAACACGTGACCTGATGCTCTGAGCCGACATCTTCAAGTATTCGTTGAACATATCGGATGTCGTCTCGTACGCTAACTGATGGAGCGCGGCAGTGCACTTCTAGACGCTACCAAACCCGCGTCGGCCTCTCGCATCAAACCGTTGGGTGAACCAAGGAAC